CTCGCATAGCATGGTTGAGAGTAGTACCCATAGAGACCAGTATAGGGTGGAGCCTATGTGAGATATAACAGCAGTCAGTAATGCAGGGAGCCGGGGGCAACAGTGACTGTGTTGTTATGTTAATCGATAGTCACTAAGTGCAGTTGCTACACAGAACATGGTGTGAGAGGGGGGGCCTCTCCCCACGCACGTCATACTACGGATTTGGCTTTTTCCCAATTCCCTTTATTGACAGGGAGGCCATAGTAAATGTATGTCACGCTCTGACTGCAGAAACTAGATCTATCACTGATGCTGGCCCATGGTGAATCAGGATATTTGTATTGTATGGACTTGGAGAAACGTAAGCTGCATTTATCAATTATTCAGAGAGACCTGAGAGCGCTGAGAGTGAATCCCAAAGTAAAGTTGTAGGACGACAGAATAACAAAGCCTTTTTAAGATCTAGGGGATTGTTCTCTGAAAGTTCACTCTTTTACACTGTTACACATTTTTTCACAGTTTTTAACACTGTTTTACACAATTTGTCATTGCTTCCCACTGTAATGCATTATTAGGGCCCAAGCACGAGAGTGCTAGGAACCTATTGTTATTGTAGGAATTATTCTTCACTATTCTTCCCGTTCTTAGAACCCATTTTTGAGGGCCTTAGGACGTTTCAAAAGTTGTATAATTTTGCACGGACCTCAGGACCGGTGAAAAATTTGACATTCTGGAGTCAATGGGTTCAAATTGTCCAACCTGCTCGCTAGCGCCACCTATGAAAATCCCATTTCAGAAAAATGTACATAGTCGCACTGTAAGTCTGAATAACCTGACATTTTGCACACTTATCCGTCTTAACCTGCTCTACAAATTATCCTTTTGGACCCCTAAGCTCCGCCTACTTTTATTTTTTTTGAATTAGCATAATGTTCAAAACAGTGAAATATTCACTTAAATTTAAATTCTTTGTTTTTCGACACCAAACTTAGTATACAGCATCTGTGGAGGGTCACACACATTACCCTAGGAAATTAGCATGTTCAGTCAATAAATATGGCCGCCATTAATCAAAACGTATTTGCAAAAAGGCTGGGCTTAGAAATAAATGCTCATAACTCATCAACAATGTCATATTTTGTAGGATAGGTTCAGTCTGTCTTGGGGAATAGGCACACCAAAGCATTTTCATTTTGGACTATAGGGGGCGCCAAAAACACCACATATGTATAACTCAAGAACGGATGGAAGAAATAATCTTTTTTTTTTTTTTACATACTCTTGGGGTGAGTATGAACTGAGATTTAAAGTGTTGCAACGAATGACGAACGTGGGCGTGCAATGTGCTAAAATGAGTTTCGGACGCAAAACCTGGGACACACGTCACAGCCCATGACTTTTTCGAGAATGTGAAAAAAAATCTCCTAGGGAAACAATCGGAAAAATTCCAATCCAGGACAAATTCAGCACATATCCAATGTGATGCTAAATTGCGAAGGAATAATCGTTCGCTTGAACGGGGAGCTCGTAGGCAAAAAAATCAAATGTTTTACCATTTATATGTCAGATAATCGACCTGCCTGTCTGCCTGGTGCATCAACTCACACTCACACACACACACACACACACACACACACACACACACACACACACACACACACACACACACACACACACACACACACACACACACACACACACACACACACACACACACACACACACACACACACACACACACACACACTCACCTACTGTTGGCAAGGCTGTTGACTGTTAGGCCAGCAACGCCCTCTGCTGGCGGGACATTCAATTACAACAGACACCTATACACTCCCCAACACACACCTACTCACTCTACAACACACATATACAGCTCCTAAAGCATATAATATATATCAGGCTCCAGCCCTTGTATATTTTATTATGTGAAGCACTACATGGTTTCATGAAAAATATCTACTTAGATGTCTCCTAAAGCATGCAAATAAAGTGTGTAATGTAGGCCTGTTACATATATTATTGAGCGATATATATTTTACACACTGTTCTGCTTTCTGCACTGACCTCAGTAGCTGTTTTCACTGTAAACATCGTGTCACAATGAAAGCAGTTGTATTAAAAAAAAAAAAATAGCTTAACATCCAAGGGAGATGTGATTAGTGCGTAAACAAACGGTAAAGGGCAGAAAGTCTGATGCACATTTGATCATCTTAAATAACTTATAATCACAACAGGAACAGTTTGCAGAGCTGTGCTTCGTTGACATAAGTCCAGCCATGCGTCACGCCTCTTTTAAACATCACTGTTGGCTGAAATCGACTCCGGAGAATACATCAGTGTACCCTCGGTTATAGCTCCTCCAGAGAGACTCCTCTCTCCTCTCTCCTCTCTCCTCTCTCCTCTAAATCAGTGCATCCTCGGTTACGGCTCCTCCAGACAGCCTCCTCGATAATCGACCCTCGATGAGCCTTTAGCGAATAAAAAATTCCTTTGAGGCGCCGCGCCGACATCCGTTTCCGGGTCGCTGCCGGAGGACCGAAGAGTCGAGGACGCGAAAATTAGAGAAACGGCTCATTTCGGAGGACTCGTGCACGTCGACTTGACGCCGGGACGACCGGCGACCCTCCCCGACAGGTGCATAGACGCGAGGGCCCGCTCATCACTGCGTGCACGACTGTGACCGCAGTTTTAATTCCAAATTGTTACGCATCATTTCGCAGCGTTACACATTGTCTCACATTGTTTCCAACGGTTTCCCACTTACTCACTGTTACAAGTTGTGTTTCATTTTTCTTACATTGTCTTACACTGTTTCACATTGTTTACACTGAATCACACTGTTGCACTTTGTCTTACTCTGTTTCACATCGTTTCACACTTTCTGACACTTCTTTACATTATTTCACATTGTTTTGCATTGTTTCAGGTTTCAGACTTGTTTACACTTGCTTCACATTGTCTCACACCTTTTCACACATGTTTCACATTGTCTCCCACTGTTTCACATCATTTTAAACAGTTTTAAATTGTCGTGGTCTACTGTTCTCTCTTGGTGTACAGGCTCTTCAGGCAGCAGTGTGAAAAAGTCCCTGTACACTGCCCACTCTCAGCTGGTGAACAGAATCACTCAACAGCAGCTAGAGACTAAGTTAGTGAAGGCTAAACAGTGATTACATTAAAGTGAATACTGCCTTTGATCTGCCAGGTGGACAGAAACACAACTCCAAATAAACACTGATGTTGTTGTTCTTTAACAACAGGAAGTATGTGAATACCAGAAACAAATATTTGTCACAAGATGATTGTTTGCACCTTGATGCTTGGCCACTTTCCCACCCTGAATATAAAGATATTTCGTGATCTGGTGTGAACAAACTGACATTTAGTAGCTTTCAAAACAGTTGGCTTGGTGCTCCTCCGATCTCTGATGTCACCTACACACATGAACACAAACAAACAAAGCCATAAATAATTGCTTTTTTCTATCAGACACAATTATTTACTTTCTTCTAGGGCGCACATGCCTACTCAATGGATGCCCATGTAAAGATCAAGAATTTACTATTACAGTTTATTGCAATTTCTAACAGATGTTTCATTTTCTCAAAACACTGTAGTTTGTTGGACAAAGGTTTGGTAATATGAACGAAGGGTGTGTCATGTATTGTAACAGTTTTATTTTTATTTTTTATGTACATTAGTTTTGAGTGCAGCGCCTCATTCTGCAGAATATATGAGGTGTTTTGCACTTTGGGTGTGTGGTTTTTGGAATTGTGTAAGGTGTTTGGAAAATGAGCCCTTTTCTTTTTAAACGTGCTGAGATTTGCTCTCTGCGTGTCAGTTTAAAGGACACCTATCATGCTATATTTGAACAATATATTGTAGGGCCATACCTATATAAAGTATATAAATATAGTTTTTTTTTCAAAATACCAAACAGATCCTGCATTTTAGCCATGCCTCATTTCGCTCCATTTGCTCTTTCCAGCACTGTTTTTGCAGGGGGCTGATTCTGTGAGCTGCAGCTGACCACGCCCCCCTGCAGGAGAAGGGAGCGTGCTCTGAACAGCTGCTGGGCTGTCAGAAGAGGGGGGAGATCTCCGTCCTCCGTGTTTTATTATATTATTATATAGAGTCATTATTCATTTGTTTTAAAGCTCAATAAATAACAAAGAAGACCTTTGACCGGCACTTTTCTAATTTTGTCCGGAAGATTTAAACTTTAACGGGTATCTTGACCGGCGAAAAAAAAACTAACTGAAACTCTGCCGCACGGTCCCCTCGTTCCTTGGAAGAGGCGGAGAGGTGGGTGTTTGTCATCTGCTGGTGGACTAACCGGAGAGAATTACAGTGCTTGCCTCGACGGGGAGGGATTGCATTGAATTACAGCAGCAGGAGCAAACGCTTGCCTCGGGGAGGGAGAAAAAGAGCCACAGCGGAGAATAAACAGAAGGGCAACCATGGCAACCATGCGCGAGAAGTCTTCTTCGCTGCTTTTGTGGCAGACTACAGCGCCACTTACAGGCCTGACATATGTACTACAGCGTCTCCAGCGCTTTCGAGCAACAATGGCCGGCCGTGGCCCAACCCCACATTCCCCTGATAGGTGGAGAATTGGCCCAATAGCCGTAGCGCCACCGTCCTGACCTCAGTAACGTGTTCAAATCTGGATCAGTTTTTATCAGATCCGTTGCAGCCCCTTTTTTAGAGATTTGGGTATGGAGGAAAATAGAGAGGGTTGTGTTTTCTGACACTTGGTGAGTTCCCTGGAACACCGGGGACACATATTCATGTATAAAAGACGTACAAAAGTGCATTTTGCATGATAGGTCCCCTTTAAATAATGATGCGTTATGTTTCATTTAAGTGTGTGAGCAACTGAAAAAAACTGTAACAATTACATGAACACAATAACTAGCTGCTGCCTCTTCAGACCTAACACTTCCCCCTGTTGGTATATATAACACTGCAGGTTGATTAACCTGTACCGCTCTACCTTGTTCCTGTCGCTCCAGAACTGTCTGATCCGGGTGACGTCTCGAGGTCGGGAGGCTCTGGTGACCGACTTCGGCCTGGCCAGGGAAGTGGTGGAGCCGCCAGTCAAAGACCCTGGCAGGAAGCTGTCCCTGGTGGGCTCCGCCTTCTGGATGGCCCCTGAGATGCTCCGAGGAGAGCCATACGACCGCAAGGTGACACAAAGTTCTGTTTGTACAGAACACTCCCTCAGCTGGATGCACATTCTCATACATTTTTGCTAACTTTGACACATAGAAGTCACATGGTCGCTGTAATGATTAAAACGACATTGACAGAAAGTGAATACAATGTACTTCTAGTGTAAGTTTAGATGACACACTTTTATAGTATTGTAACTTTTGTGCTTTTTTGCTGCTTGGTGTCGAAACAACCACTACATTTGGGATTAGCTTGAGTTCTTTATGTCTTACTTGTTGCAGGTGGATGTTTTCTCCTTCGGAATTGTTCTCTGTGAAATTCTGGCCAGGATCCCAGCGGACCCAGAGATACTACCCAGAACACAGGTAGAGAACAGAAGCCCGTTATTATACACCCAGTCATATCAATGGTCGGCCATGTTATTACCTTGACCTGATACTGAGACTACAGTCACTTTGTTTTGATTTGTGTAGAACATTTAATAAAATCCCCACAAGAAGTTTCCATTTAACAAGAAGCTAAATGGGCTTTTAGCCTAGCTGAGCTATCTAACAGGAAACATGGGGAAACAGCTTCTAGTTTTCTCCAAAAAACAAGCATATGCAACACCTATTAAGGTTACTAACTAAGAGGGTTGGGAGGGTTACTTTTAAAATAATTCCGATTCAATTACTTTTTACCTAATGTTAACTGCAGGTCAGACACACTGAAAAAAGAGAAACACTGACTTTAATTAAATGTATTATGTCATCAAATTTCACAAAACTGTATTAGGTTGATTCAAATAATATTAAGTTGAACCTAGTATATTTCTATTTAAACTTAATACTTCTTTCAACTAACGTAATACAGTTATGGGAAATCTGTTGACATAATACATTTAATTAAAGTCAACGTTTCAGTTTTCTCAGTGCAGCATGAGGAATATACTGTAAAGAGATTTTTGAACATTAAAGCAGTCACAGCAGAGGCCCAACATACAAATATGAACCTGATAAACAGGCATAATAAGTCCCCTTCAATCAAAATGTCTTATATAATATGCGCTCATGCTTCAGAGACTGCTGACCGTGTGTTTCAGGACTATGGGCTGGATGTGAATGCGTTCAGGGAGCTGGTGACTGGTTGTCCTCCGCGTCTCCTGGAATTAGCAGCCAGCTGCTGTATGGTATGTAGAGCTTTCAATATTAATACAATAAACAATATAACTGAATACTTTTTTTTCCATTTAATTTAATTCCATTTAATTTAATTCCATTTAATTTAATTCCATTTAATTTAATTCCATTTAATTTAATTCCATTTAATTTTTTTTTTTTTAATTAAGCTTTGAATGTCTGTATATTTTGTGTTATTTTGATAATGTAAGTGTTATTTATGGTGCTGCTAGAATGCTGTACAAGCTGTAGATAAAGACATGTATATTGAGTGCGGTGAAAATGTTTCATTTTGTCTCAGGACAAAAAACTAAGGAAATTGAGTTCTTGCATTGTTATCGCTAAAACTCCCTAAGCACAGTGCCACCACTTACACATTATTGCGCCAATACCACAAAGTAATTAATATAACAATAAAATAATAATCGATGTTATAGTATTAGATGCAGGAACGAGTCCTACTGTAAAACCCAGAAATTAGTTAGCATTTTAGCTCTAAGTTTAAAAAAAACGTTGTTCCTGTTATAAGATCTGTCGTAACACGAGATTAAGAGATTTTTGTTTTCTAGGACATGGAATGTTTAAATACCCCACTCGTGAATGTCAGTAGCTTCTATGTGTCATTAAAATAGTGGTTGACAACAAGCGTCTAAATGAGACTGCTCAACGTCCGAACATTAGCAGCCTTTAGCTTAGCGGTGTTGAGACACCATTATACCGTGATGTAGTTCATTTATAGCCTAACGTTAGCCTTTTACGGCTGGCTGTTGCCTTTAAAATCATATAAAGAAACATAAAAATTATGAATGTCTTTCACTTAACTGTATTAGGTTAGTTGAAAGCAATAATATTAAGTTTAAATACAAATATTAGGTTCGACTTAATATTATTGCTTTCAACTAACCTAATAGTTCAACACAGTCTCACGGCATTTCGTGTTATAGTCACGAAATTAATCTATTGATTCGTGTTCACCAACACGATTTCGCCATTTTTTTCGTGTCACACAGAACGATTTTAAAAGCAATGTAAATAATAACAAATTAGAAGGAAAAAGACATTTAAAAAAATACAGATTTAAGTATTCTGACACAGAACGATTTTAGAAGCAATGTATTTATATTGGTAGTATGTTTCGTGCCTGCACCAAATAATAACAAATTAGAAGGAAAAAAAAATGACATAAAATACAGATTTCAGTATTCTGAGGCTCTGAGCCATTTCTTTTCCTCACTGACGGCAAAAAAACTCAGACATTATACAATTTAAAATAAAAGGGTTAGGCTTAGGGTAAGATATTGAGTAAGAACATGTTTTTATGAACCACACAGCTTCTGGTCTTCCAAGACCCGACCGGACAAAAAGACGTGTTCTACCAATAGAAATACATTGCATTTAAAATCGTTCTGTGTGACACGAAAAAAATGTGAAAATCGTGTTGGTGAACACGAATCAATAGATTAAATTAATTTCGTGACTATAACACAAAATGCCGTGAGACTGGGTTGAATAATTATGTGAAATCTGTTGACATAATACATTTAACTAAAGTAAACGTTTCAGTTTAAAAGACCTCATGAAAGACGACACACGAAGTGAGGATACCCGGCCCGGAGGAAGCCCGGGGTCCCCTTCTGGAGCCAGGCCCAGAAGGAGGACTCGTCGGCAAGCGGGGGGGAAGGAGCCGGAGCTTGTGCGGGAGGTGGAGCGTTACCAGTTGGATCTGGTGGGGCTCACCTCTACGCACAGCGTCGGCTCTGGAACCTCACTTCTGGATAGGGGTTGGACTCTATTCTTCTCCGGAGTTGCCCAAGGTGTGAGGCGCTGGGCGGGTGTGGGGATACTCACAAGCCCCCGGTTGGGTGCTTCTTTGTTGGAGTTTACCCCAGTGGACGAGAGGGACGCCTCCCTACCCCTGCGGGTTATGGGGGGAAAAACTCTGACTGTTGTGTGTGCTTATGCACCAAACAGCAGTTCAGAGTATACGGCCATCTTGGAGACCCTGGAAAGAGTCCTGTATGGGGCTCCTGAAGGGGACTCTTTAATCTTGCTGGGAGACTTCAACGCACATGTGGGCAATGATGGAGACACTTGGAGGGGCGTGATTGGGAGGAACGGCCCCCCTGATCTGAACCGGAGTGGTGGTTTGTTACTGGACTTCTGTGCTAGTCATGGATTGGCCATAACAAACACCATGTTCGAACATAAGGATGCTGTGTACTTGGTACCAGAGCACCCTTAAGGTCCATGATCGATTTCGTTATCGTATCATCGGACCTGAGGCCGTATGTTTTGGACACTCGGGTAAAGAGAGGGGCGGAGTTGTCAACTGATCACCATCTGGTGGTGAGTTGGGTCGAGTGGCAGGGGAAGCCTCTGGACAGACCTGGTAAGCCCAAACGTGTAGTTTGGGTGAACTTGGAACGTCTGGAGGAGGCCCAAGTTCAGGAGGCCTTCAACTCACACCTCCGGCGGAGCTTTTCGGGCATTCCTGTGGAGGTTGGGGACATTGAACCAGAGTGGGCGGTGTTCAAAGCCTCTATTGCCGAAGCCGCGGCAGGGAGCTGTGGTCTCAAGGTCTTAGGTGCCTCAAGGGGCGGTAACCCTCAAACCTCCTGGCGGCATCAAAGTTGTTCTGGAAAACTGTCCGACACCTCAGGAGGGGGAAGCAGGGAACCATCCAAGCTGTGTACAGTAAGGATGGGACGTTGTTGACCTCAACTGATGGAGTGTTAGGGCGTTGGAAGGAACACTTTGAGGAACTCCTGAACCCGACAACTCCGCCCTCTATGGTAGAGGCAGAGCTGGAGTATGACGGGGGATCAACACCAATCTCCCGGGGGGAGGTCACTGAGGTAGTCAAACAACTCCACAGTGGCAAAGCCCCGGGGGTGGATGAGATCCGCCCAGAAAGGCTGAAGGCTCTGGGTGTTGAGGGACTGTCATGGTTGACACGTCTCATCAACGTTGTGTGGAAGTCGGAAACAGTACCGAAGGAGTGGCAGACCGGGGTGGTGGTTCCCCTTTTCAAAAAGGGGGATCAGAGGGTGTGTGCCAATTACAGAGGCATCACACTACTCAGCCTCCCCGGGAAAGTTGACTCTAAGGTACTCGAAAGGAGGGTCAGGCCGATTGTCGAACCTCAGATTGAGGAGGAACAATGCGGATTCCGTCCTGGTCGTGGAACGACAGATCAGCTTTTTACTCTCGCAAGGATCCTGGAGGGGGCCTGGGAGTAGGCTTATCCGGTCTACATGTGTTTTGTAGACTTGGAGAAGGCGTATGACCGAGTTCCCAGGGAGTTACTGTGGGAGGTGCTGTAGGAGTATGGGGTGAGGGGGTCTCTACTCAGGGGCCAGGCCATCCAATCTCTGTACTCCCAAAGCGAGAGCTGTGTCCGGGTCCTCGGCAGTAAGTCGGACCCATTTCCGGTGAGGGTTGGCCTCCGCCAGGGCTGCGCTTTGTCACCAATCCTGTTTGTAATATACATGCATAGGATTTCGAGGCGTAGTCGTGGGGGAGGGGGTCTGCAGTTCGGTGGACTAAGGATTGCACCACTGCTTTTTGCAGATGATGTGGTTCTAATGGCTTCATCGGTCTGCGACCTTCAGCACTCACTGGATCGGTTCGCAACTGAGTGTGAAGCTGGGATGAGGATCAGCACCTCCAAATCGGAGGCCATGGTTCTCAGCAGGAAACCGATGGACTGTCCACTCCAAGTAGGGAATGAGTCCTTACCCCAAGTGAAGGAGTTCAAGTATCTCGGGGTCTTGTTCTCGAGTGAGGGAACAATGGAGCGTGAGATGGGCCGGAGAATCGGAGCAGCGGGAGCGGTACTGCAGTCGCTTTACCGCACCGTTGTGACGAAAAGAGAGCTGAGCCAGAAGGCAAAGCTCTCTGTCTACCGGGCCATTTTCGTTCCTACCCTCACCTATGGTCATGAAGGATGGGTCATGACCGAAAGAACGAGATCACGGATACAAGCGGCCGAGATGGGTTTTCTCCGCAGGGTGGCTGGCGTCTCCCTTAGGAATAAGGTGAGAAGTTCAGTCATCCGGAAGGGACTCGGAGTTGAACCGCTCCTCCTTCGCGTCGAAAGGAGCCAGTTGAGGTGGTTTGGGCACCTTGTAAGGATACCACCTGGGCGCCTCCCTAGGGAGGTGTTCCAGGCACGTCCAGCTGGGAAGAGACCAAGGGGTAGACCTAGAACCAGGTGGAGGGATTATATCTCTTCGCTGGCCTGGGAGCGCCTTGGGATCCCCCAGTCAGAGCTGGTTGATGTGGCCAGGGAAAGGAACGTTTGGGGCTCTCTGCTGGAACTGATACCTCCGCGACCCGACCACGGATAAGCGGGAGAAGATGGATGGATGGATGGATGGATTCAGTTTAGCTTTAGTTACTTTGCAGATATAGATTAATGTTAAACAATATGATCAACAATTAAATCAGACTTTAGTTACACCTGGATTACATTTACAAACAACCCAGCAGAAAATAAAGGAATTGAAATGAGTTCCACCTTTACCAGTTTTGATAACACTTTAATTGCAGACAAGATCTTAGTACTACTTCCACCTCTGTTTGAGTCAAATATAATAGACTTTTCCTTTTTTTCTTCAGTATAGTTATGAAAACAGGAAAGTATTTCAACATGGTTGTATTTTGCCAAGTTAAGAACCAGATCACTCCTCCCTCTCCCCCCTCCCCTCCCCCCTCCTCTCCTCCCCTCCTCCTCTCCTCCTCTCCTGCTCTCCTCCTGTCCTCCTCTTCTCCCCCCTCCTCTCCTCCCCCCTCCTCTCCCCCCCTCAGGTGGAGTGCTTCAGACGGCCAGCGTTCACAGAGCTGCTGGATGAGTTGGGGGAGGTTGCTGAGAGTCTGGAGCTGCTGCCAAAATCTGACGTGACCACGAGCTGAGGGGTCCGTGTGGGATGCCCCCCCCCCCATCGGGAGTGTGGGTGAGTGAGGGCAGGAAGCTGACTGACCCTGAGTCCATCCCTCTCTCTACGACACAACGCACCTCCATGGAGACACTTAACTGAAGTGGTTTTTACAGGAGACTCCTCCGACGTCTCATGGACACTTTGCTTTGACACGTTCTGTGTTCAAAGGAATAGTGCTGTGACTTGGAATGTTCTTCTTTAAAATGTCTTAACGGATTCTTCTTCCTCGGCGGAGTGTTTGCTTTCTCAGTCTGTTGGTGTGTTTTCATCCTCTTCTATCTACCACAGGTCATCTTTTTATATATTGGGATAAAAAAATGCACCATGAACGAATCAGAAGCTGAACAGATTTGATGGATTTTAAAAGAAAGAGACGTCAACCTCAAACATCAGCATCACATTTTATATTCATTGTCATTTTTTTGATGTTGGTCTTATTTTAAGATATTTATTAGTTAGATTATTTTGGAATGACACTAAGAACCTGTAACATATCAGCTTTTCGTGAACAAAGGACGCGCTGCTCTAGGCCTTGTTTCAGCGTGATGAATTAGCATGTTTGAGATATTCTGTGGATTTTGCTTCAAAGAACCATACATTTCTCAATAGTGAAATAACAAGAAGTGGTTGTTTTTAATAGCAAAATGCACATTTTATTTATCTCTTTTTTTCCATTGGTCATAAGAGTTAATTAAGTTACCTAACTTACTGAACATGAGCGTGTTAATATTTAAGATCTTTCTTTTTCTGACTTATTTTTCAAATTCGGCCACCTTTTGGGGGTTGAAATTCCTTTTATTTTACCAATATTTACTACTTTCTGCTTTGTGTGTGTCTGCAATATAAAATGACCTTTCACAAAATACACCATCCTATTCAAAGAGATTCTTCCAGTTATATTTAACTTCTCAAAGTTCAGAGATACAGATTTATTTTTGCTTGATGTAAATAGAACATTTAAATACAGGTGTTACACAAAAACACAAGTAGGCTTCTACATACAGGAATAAAACTACATTTGGAAAGTCACTCACGAATGGGAAGAAATGATAAATTTACCAGTTATGAAGGGGGTTTTCTACATTTAAGGTGGACTATTCACTTTAAACCACCTGAGGCCCACACAACTGTATTTCATAGGCTGCGTAGGCTATGTTTGAAAGCTAGAGTGAAGACATTGGTATCATATGAATGAGAAAGGTATCCATTTCCACAATGTAATGCTCAAAAGTTAGGCAACTTTTTGGCATGGCCGTGTTCACAGGGGTCCATTAACCATTCACCTCAAGATATCTGGCTCTATGGAAAACCACAAGTCGTAAACAGTGTATTTGCATATGTCTGCATGCTAGAAATCGCTAAGTAGTCCTGGGAAATTGGGTAGGACTTGAACGCTGAGATTCTTGTGGATCCAATGAGTCCAACGTGGAATGATGCTGGTCCCAGTTGGAGTGAGACAATTTTTTAAACTGGACATTGCTGTATAAAATGACCTATTGTGAGCTGATAGCTAGGAACCACAGAATGAGGACATTCAGTATGGTTTTCTTTGACATATTGACAGTAAGTGGGTTTCTAAAGAAAAGGTCAGAAGTTTATGATCCTTTATCACAGGATGACTTTTTCTATCATTTTTCAAGGTCTTAATGTGGAAATTTGGAGGGGGTGAAAAATGTAATGTGGCTCCTGATCTGTGTAACACATTTTTTAAACCCCCAAAAGTGTCTGCACAAACTGAAAGGAAATGATGGAGCATGAGGATGGCCATAATATAGTTGCACCATATATTATAAGCCCTTATGCACTCTACACTTATAACTTGAAGAGGTGCCTAACCTACAATGTTTACATTGTTTATTACCGATTTATTACTACAATTACATTTCTGGATTATAATAAAAATACATTAAATTGTATATTTTGCAGTTGGTAAAGGTGGAACTAACTTCAATTACTTTTTATTGGGGATCGTAGTCCATATTTGTATATCATAATGTATTAGTTGGTTTATATTGTATTGATAAACTGAACCTGGAAGGTAACCATGGTTGTTAATAAATGTAGTGGGGTAAGAAGTACAATTTTGCTTGCAAAATGTAAATGTGGAGAGGTATAAAGTATTATAAAATGGAAATACTCAAGTAAAGTACCTTATACTTAAGTATATTACTTGAGTAAATGTACTCTGTTTCTTCCACCAGACAGGATTCCTTAAACTGAGTCGACACAACTAACTGGCCATAAAGATGGATAAACAACTGATTGATTTAATGTTTTTTCTAGTTTTCTTCCACAGTTTTTCAGTGTTTGATTTTAGTTCACTGCGCCAAAGTAATGATAAGATAAGTATATGATATACTTATATATAGACCTGAGATTGAGTCTTAATTGACCTTGTGTGTGACTCTAACATCATGTATACAGGGTGATAATAGTGGTAATATAAACAAGGTTGGGGGGTTACTTTAAAAATGCCTATTACAATTACTAGTTACCTGAATGTAATTTAAACGGTAACCTAATCTGAGTATCAAAATATAAAAGTAATGTACTGTAACCTGATTACTTTTTATCACTTTTTGATTACCGCAATATCAAACACATATGCAAAATAAAATACTTTACTTAAGTGTATTATTTATGTAAGACAACTGAACAATGAGAGGCCCTGCCAGTCAACACTATTATCTAATATTCAGGCATGAACCTGTTCATAAAATAGTGTGTGTGAGCTTAACTGTGTGTATTAAACTAAAACGGAGCATTTTCTGTCAGCTCAGATTTTATTTTTGCTTTTTTAAACTGTAGTATGTGCTCATGTGTTTCATTGTTGGTGTATAGGCTGCTGCCTGAATATGCTGAGTGACAGGCAGCTTGTACTCAAAGTCATTTCTGATCCTAAATATCTTACATAATTCAATTAATAAAAAAACGTCTTGTTGATATTTATGCGTGTGTAATCTCACATGCAAAGGTAAGTGTGTGTGTTTCTATCTTGTTTCCTGGAGGCTGTTGACCATGATAATGATGTGTCTTTGAAGCAAAGCTTCGTAGAATAATCAGTGTGGAGATATAATGGAAACATTTCAAGTAATGTACAAAGCAAGGCCTCCCTTTGAACTCACACACACATCAAAAGATCATGAAAGATTCAGTGGGTCCTTTAACAGCCCGACAACAGAAGAAGAATGGGCCTGATGAGGTCACAGATCTTCTTCTCTTTCACATTTTGTAATAGGCTGCGTTATGTCACACAGGTTTCAAATAGTATGTGTTAGGAGGAAATACATGTACATAAAGCAACTGCTCAATAGCCTTGCTAATGTAATCTGACTACGTTTGCTTTATATTGCCTTCAGTAAACAATGAAAATGAGGCTTTTATTGCACAGAATCTGCAGTAAAAAGTGCAATTTAGATTTTTGGTCTCACCAATTTAAAATGGAAAAATGCCTTTGGCCTAGTTTAGCTTCTAAACCAAGGACATACAAACCTGAAATCAGGATTCACTACAGGGCACAAAGTAATGATACAATAAAAGAGCTGTGGCCTCCATCTGTCCCATCCCTGTCCAACCTCCGAGCACATTACAACAACAGTGCACACACACACACACACACACACACACACACACCCCTCAAAGACTGCAACCACAATTCTTTATAAATATTTGTATTACTGCAGTGAGAGATGCCAAAGAAATGTCGTTTTACTTTGTATGATGACAATAACGATATATTCAATTTTTTTCTATATTATAAGTAAGGAGTAATAAGGAGTGTCTTTTTTGTGCATAAATGTAAAGAATGTGGTGCACACAATTTATACAAAAGTTACATTTGACAAAATCCTTTTCTACACATGATAATCTATATTGTGTACATTTGTAAAAGTAGAAACTGAAAGTGCTTATGTTTCATATCATCTCTACAGAGTAGGATTAACAAAAATAGAATAAAATAATTACTTCTAGTGGATACATACATGAACAGTGGGAAATATAAGTTTGAACAATAAAACATATACAACATTATTCTTAAAATGCCCGTTTATTGCTGCTCATTTTACATCTGATAGTAACTGTGTGTTCTCTATGACATGTCTTTTTTTTTACCTAATACGTCTTAAAGCCATGTAACAAACAGTCGACCATTTATGACAGTGACAGGTCAGACAGTGGAACAACAGGATGTTAACAGCATGGTTCCAGACTGTCCTCAGACATTACACTGCCTGTCCACAGAGGGGTGTTGGCTCATTACACTGCTGATCCTGACCACACACAGAGATGGCAAAAGTACACACATCCTTTACTCAAGTAGAAGTACAGATACTCGTGTTTAAAAATACTCTAACTGACCTCCTTTTATATTAATAGAACAATAATGTCATTGTTAGCTAATGAATGTTTTGATGCTGAACAACGGCAACATGAAAAAGTTTTCATTGGTCCCTCTTCTTTAGAGAAGACCAGGAAATGATGGATACACGGATCGTGTTCAAATCAATAGGCACGCAATGACTCTAAATAATAATGATCACGCCACCAAACACACATTCAAACTAAAGGAACCAGCCTGTTTGGAAAATGTAAGAAGTAGAAAGTACAGGTATTTGTGTTAGAAATGTAAGAAGTCAAAGTAAAAAGTCATCAGAAAAAGAATTAGTGGAGTAAAGTACTGATAAAAGAAAATGTACTCAAGTACAGTAAACATTTCAGTTTTTTTTTATTAAACGTTGACTTTTTTCAGTTGCTAACACACAAAAATCTCACGTAAAGCATCATTATTTAAACTCACACTCAAAGAGCAAAACCTCAGCTCAAATCTCCAGAACTCTAAACACATCTTCAGCTCTGCACCCAATTTGCAATTCAACTCGGCACTTTTTGCAAAACACTGCACACGGTTCTCTAAGTGAGACACACACATCTGACATTTTCACTTGTTTGCCATTTTCAAAACACTGCCATTAAAAATGCTACACACATGAACCAATCAACAAACACACATGCCAAATGACCGTAAACACCAAACTGCTTTATTGTTGACTCATCAATCAGGATGTAAGCACTAGAAAAAGGCTTCATGTAAGAAATGTATAAAAACAACAATGGATATATGGACAGCAGCAAGAGGAAGAGGTGGAGGGGGGATAAGAGTGAGAGGGAGGATAAGAGAGAAAGGGAGGATGAACTGAAGTCAGTTATTTGCAGCATAATGCCTGTATCTGTATGACCGTCAGGCTACAGGTGATGCTTCTTCTGCAGGTGGATGAGGGGCTGTGGTCAGACCCAGTGAGGTGGTACAAATGCTTTTTTCTAAAAATATTCTTTTTATTTATTTTTCCTCAAAGTTTTCCTTTCACTTTACTGGATTTGACAGAGGCATCATTTGTGTTTACACAACTGTAACTATGTGTTTTGCAGGACAGTTGCACCAATTTGTTTTGGAGAACAACAAAAGTATAACAACTGTATATTTGTGTTTCTGCACATATTTTTGTAGACTTGAACAATGTTTTTATGCAGCATTCTCTACATACACACAGCATAAAAGATGAGTGCGCTTTAGATTGAGCACCACAGTGTGTAGTTGGTTGGACAAAGTGTCTTGTACTATAAGTGAAGTTAGGGCCATTTGGTGCAAAAGTCTTTGGTAAGTGCTTATGTAGTTTTGGGCGCAGTGCTTCCTTTTGCAGGATATATGATGTGCTTTGCACTTTGGGTGTGTGGTTTTGTGTAAGTGTTTCGACAAAATGAGCCCTGTTGTCAAAAAACGTGTTTTAGCAATGGAAAAGAAACTGTAATGAAATGTATTATGTAAACCAATTAGGTTAGCTGAAAGCAATAATATTAAGTTGAACCTTTCTTTTTATTCAAACTTAATATTATTGCTTTCAGCTAACCTTATACAATTGTATGTAATTTGTTTACAAAATACATTTATTTAAGTACGTTTTAATTATGTTTCAGTTTATTCATCATTGAGCTGACAATTTATGATTACACACTGAAAAAACTGAAATTAAAGTCAACGTTTCAGTTTTTTTCAATGCAGGCATTTGAGGACTGGTTGAAAATAGAACAGATTAAAGATGAACATGTATGTTATCATTTAGTTTGTTGTAATTTATAATTTATAAGATTTTAATGTGACTTAACATTCCAGTTTTGTCAGTGTACTGACTCATGAAACTGAAAGCCTGCGTGACAGTCCTCAGGCCGGACGATGACACGACATGGAGACATCTTTGTATTTGACGTGCCTATACTGTCACGATCTGTCTTTGTTTTATTTTGCTCATCTCAAGATCTGTCTTTGTTTTCCCGTTTTATTTTGAAAAGTGTCTGTTTTTACCTCTGTTTCCCTCCTGTCTGATTGCCTGATTGTGTTCACCTGGTGCCCCTGGGGGTTTCCTCCCTCCCCCCTGTGTCTTGTCTTTGTGATTAGTCTTGTTGCTATTTAAGTTCTGCTTGTCTTTTAGTTGTGGTCAGATCCTTGATGTTGTTGGACGGATTTTGCTGTTGGACAGTTTATGTTTTGCCTTGCCGTACAATTTGTCTAATTTCTCTTCTGCTCATATTCTACCCTGACCACCGGGACAATTTGAATGTTCAGTTCATAGTTAATTTCTTATTTTATGTCAGACAGTTTATTACCGTGCAACAGCTACCATGGTCAAAATAATATAAACCACAATTGTTTTATTTATTATAATAACATGTATGTTTCAATTATATATTCTCTTAATACTTTTTTGTAGGCCTTTGCTATTTGCATTAAGACTAATTGCAATAGTAGTAATTGTGGAGCTTCAGAGGAATCCCAAAACAACCTGTAAGGCAAACAGAGGGTATCACAGTGACCTCTGTAAAATACTGTTCTGCTGATGAGCTCCTGGAAAGCATCTTTGAAGGAAGATCCATGAAAACCCAGGTTAAAAGAAGGTATTAGGCTCAGGCAGGAAATGAGTGAACATGTTCAGTATACCACGCTGACCTGGTAATATACTTTGGTTGAGATGCTGCTATAATCAGATTCCCCCTTCTGTTAATCCTGTTTCTCTAAACCAGGGATGGGCAACTTGGATGGTGGTGGGGGCCACATAATTTATGTACTGGCCACCAGGGGGCTGCAGATTCACTTGGAACACACACACACACACACACACACAAATTCCATGTATTGTATGTAATTATTAACAAGGAACATCCTCTAATAAGCTCACTAAACAAATATCAGTTCACAGAAATGTTATATAATTTGTACAAGTGGCATGTTTGTATTGAACAGGTTATTTAACAGTGGAATAAAACTATTTTAAACTATTGGAAAGCGCAGAAAATGTGTGTGCATTGAGATTAACCATTAAGATGACATAAACATCAAGTCATGAACACTAACCCAGACATTAGTTGTCTGACTTGAACCTAAGACACGTGTAGCCTGCCTCTGCATTCCCCTTATTCCACAATAAGGGGAATGTCAACACAGACACCTGTCAACCCGCACTCTGCTGTTCTTCAGCGCCGCTCCCCCTCCCTCCCGCTGAAATTATGAATGAAAAGCGTATAGTAATCATAGATAACATGCCAGGGTCAGTGACCAGTGGCGTAACTATCGACGGTGCAGCCAGTGCAACGTACCAGGGCTCAGAGCCTACCAGGGGCCCATGCATTATTAATTAATTAATTTGTAATTTGTCTGTCCAATGACCTTGCTCCCTTTCATGCAGGGCCGGTCCTTAGCATTGGCGTTATAGATGTTCGCCTGGGCACCAGATCTGGGGGGGCGCTGCACTGGCAGCTCTGGGAGGGGAAAAAACATTTTTGACCGTTGGTGCTCATCCTAATTTTCGGCCTTGAACATTCATAATTAAGTAAATGTAACACCCTTTTCACCCCGGTTACACTTTTCATTTGCCCTGTACGATGGGCGCTGT